AACATCAGCAACAGCAGCAGCAGCAACAGCAGCAAAAGCAGCAACAGCAATAGTCACAGCAACAACAGCAGCAACGATAACAGCAGCAACGATAACAACAGCAGCAACGATAACAACAGCAGCAACGATAACAACAGCAGCAACGATAACAACAGCAGCAACGATAACAACAGCAGCAACGATAACAACAACAGCAGCAAAAGCAGCAACAGCAGCAACAACATCAGCAACAACATCAGCAACAACAACAGAAACAATGCCACCACCAGCAATAATACTAAAAACAGAAAAAGCAGATTTTATATCAAAGGAATTTTAGCATTCAGTAGTATCTAGAAGAAAGATGAAAGAAAGAAGGAAAAAAACTGTTACTTACTGGAGCCAGCCCAGGGCACTCATACACTGTGTAGTCACCCTCATCTCCTTCATCACTATTATCTTCATCATCCATTGAACCTTGTTTAGATGACCGTGAACCACTTGCCCTTATGARTCGAAAAATAACACATCAATATATATAACAGGGACCATGTAGAGGAAGGGCTGGCTATTAGCTGTTCATGAGTTGAAGAACAGGGTGCATCATGGGCTGTCTTAGGGGATGCCATATAACTCATACGATGTCTTTTCCACTCATTGTAGTGAAAAGTGAAAAAAAGGTGATCGGAAACCTTAACTGTTGTGTTAATTTTCAAATTTATTCTTCACTTCTAGAAGCTTGGGCTGGAACCCAGGTTGTATTAGTGAGAGGCTGCACATTAAAGTGCACCTCAAGTGTAATTTTTCCCCTATTTGGAAGTGGAGATATACACATATAATAACGAAAAATAATAAAAAAAAGGAAATTGAACGAATTGTTGATTTTTTTAAAAGATTTGAAATTCCCGGTTTTCATAACAGCTCCGCTCATTTGGGGGACTGGTGCGAATACGTCATCGGGGTGGAAGGAACCAAAGCTATCTTCATTTCTTGTGTGTAAACTTTATGTTGTTGTGTCCAAATTCTTCGCCAGTGCATCAACTGTTTCGTTTAAAAAAACTAGTTTTCTCAGAAAAACATATTTATGGCAACTACAAGCGCATCATGTAGCTCAAAATATGATTCCTCGTCCGATATTACTGACTTCRAGCTCGAAGACAACACGGCCGGCGAACTACCATCGGAACTAACATGTCTAACTGAGAATTACGACTCTGAAAACGATGAGATACCTTATTCTGATGAACCTCTAGCCGATGCAGAATGGATATCTCAATACGATAAAGAAGTGAAGCAAATCGAAGAACAAGAATCAGAACTGAAGTCTCGGTTGGC